AGGTATCGCCACTAAAAGACCTTTTTATGTTGTTTGTCTTATTTTCCTGTCTTATTTTGACTTGCTCCTAAATCCACCCTTACCATCTGTCTCTTGTTTCTTTATATTTGATGTATAACTTCCATTCATACTCCAAGCATTGATCGACGTCTTCAGTATTCTTCAATTTTAGTCTCATCTCAAGCCTTGGCAAATAACTGAGAAAACAGCAATGTAGACTTCTTACAAAGTATTTTATCTAACCAGCCAGGTCAGAGGTCATGGAGAGCTTTTGAGTGGAGAATTGGAAACAACTGTTTCCTGAGTTATTTGCCTTTTTTATCTTTTGAAGTGAATTTCTTTGTACATAAGCTGCCAGTTTGGATGTATATTGTACCATTTTAAAGCAGTTTTAATAAGACTGCTGAGAGTACACTCAGCCTTGGGTAAGGAGCTTAACTTAAAAATGACACCTTTTACATACTTTCCAACAGCTGATATTCCAATAGCTTTCATTTATTACATTTTTTTTTAATAATATTACTAAAAAGCTAATATGTTATTGTCATGTATATAACATACAGTAAAGATAAATAGTTTCTCCAGTAAATATTATAACAAATAAATAACAAGTCTAGTATATCCAGATACATCAGAATAAAGTAGCTACTAGCTAACAATGTTTATAAATTACACTATACTTTGCTACGCCTGTCTTATCTGCCTCAGAGCTAACTTACTCGAACTGTCTCCATCACTGCTCTTACCAAATCTCCAGTCTGCATCATTCTCATATCTATTCAAAAGTAGTATTTCCATTAAAACTAGATTTTATCCATAATGCAAATGTCATTGACATACACCTAATCAACAATATATTACTAGCATTCATGTTGTTATTGTTGCAACTTAAAAGATCACAGCTGACCTTGCTAGCTAGCTAACCCATTGCAATATTGCACGTTCCACTATTCCACAGTGTTGCCACTTGGAAACACATACATTTAAACGATTTACAGAAAACTTAATTGATAAAAAAAAATGAGTAGTGAATATGTCATCGTAACTTACTGGAGATGATGTTAAAGATTTCTTTGTTGATCTGACATGAGTTGATGCTTTGTCTTTATTGACGTTTACGTTTGCATTCAGCAACTACTCACAATGAACGCCAGTCTGCCAGAAATCACGCCACAGAAAAACACTGCATGGGCTCTATTTTGACGGTCCATTCGCAGAGCGTAAATCGCAGGGCGCAAATGCTTTCAGGGTGTGTCAGAACGCATTTTTGCTAATTTAAGGATGGGAAAATCTGCTTTGCGATGTGGCGCATGGTCTAAAAGGGTTGAGTTTATTTTCTTAATAAGTTATAGGTGTGTTTTGAGAATAAACCAATTAGAGACTCATCTCCCATTCCCTTTAAGAGCCAGCTGCGTCTCGCCAAGAGCGCATTCGCTATTTACAGGACGCAAAGTAAGTCTAAGTGGAAAAACTGAGCAATTCACTAGCAAACAGTTAAAAAAGTTAACAGTTAACAGTTTTTTAACAGAAAACTGTTAAACAGAGCATCTACTGCGTGAGAATGAAAGATAATGGATCTACTTTCACATTCGCTCTTAAATAGAGAAACCTTTACGCACAGACATCAATTAGTCTATAAATAAATAATTTTGCTTGTTAAGCGCAAATATTCATTTTAAAACTATTTCTAAATTCAGTTCTAATTTCCAGCAAGTGAATAAATGAATAATAATAACAAAATGTGCTCAAAAACCTGAGTTATATCCTAAAACACATGCTGTGCCCCTTATGGTCTAAAACCTGACAGGTGGGCAAATCTTAGCTTGTTTTTAATAAAACAAATATAAATATGGATATAATAAATAATACTGCTAATAATAATAATAACATTATACAAAAGCAAATTGTTAAGAATGAACTGAAAAAGCCTCCCGAGATGAAGAAGACATAAAGCAGTGATTTTTCATATTTATGTAGGCTAGAAAATAATATGTTTTGTAATATTTTAATCCTTTATATTTATATCCTATATCTATTCTTATTATATCCTATATATCCTTAATATTAATTTTTTTCATATGTAAAGATATTTGCCTATTGCTCTCTTGTGCGTATTAAGCAGTGCGTAAGCGAGGCGCAACTCTGCGCCGGAGTTTAGACCGGGTTTGTTTTGGTTTAATAAAAAATCTATTATAGTTTCTCAAAATAGCAACGCGCCAGCCGTGCACCTCAGAACGCCTTCCTTTTTAGACCAGAACGCCTATGGGCACACATATAAGTGCTAATGCATTTGCTATTTAAACAGCGTAGCACAACGCCTCAAATCGACTCTTGCGCCAAGCTGAAACTACTAAAAGACTACTGCGCCGCGCCTTGCGCCACATTGCGCCGGGTGTATGATAGGGCCCCATGTCATGTAACTTAACCAAAGCACATCATTGGCCACACTAAGGTCTTCTCTTTCCAACTAAAACAATTCAATGTTGGTCTTAAAGAAACAGTGACAGGGGAATGAACACAAATATGATGTTGCCATATGGCAACACCATGCGGTAGAGGGTTAAGTGTGCGAAAAGCCTAGAAGCTGTCTGATGTTTGAATGCTTGAGATATTGAGATATCGTTCAGAATGTCTCAACACACACACACACGCATATATACACACACACACAGAAATTTTCTTAGTTTATTTCTTAAGTTAATTAGGTTATAACGCCTATATGTATGACACAGTTAATGATGTTACGTAAGAGTGTGATTGTTGATGTTTTGAGATTGTAAGCAGCATGACCGACAAACTCTGTCCACTTTATTTTAGTTGAATCCCGTTGGTCCCGCGACACAGTCTTACATCTGTTAATTGTGTCTTGGATTTTAAAACTCGAAAAGGTCAACTCTGGGTCATTCTCAGCGCTGGGTAAATCTAGCTTTTTCTTTCACACTGCTTATAATTTACTAGGTAATCCAGGGTTAAGAACAGTGTGGAAAAAATCCAAAATTTTTTTTAAAATTCAAGTAATAAAACTGAGTCTTGAGGGAAAACCGATCAAAGGTTAAAGGTCATTTAGGCCTTATGCGGTTTCAACACTTGTTCTGAAATGAACCAATTGTCTTTGCTTTTCCAGCAGAATGGCTAGTGTCTGTCCTCTAGTGGCCTCTGACTGATACTGTCTGAACTTACGTTTTTATTCAGTCTTATAGATGTGGAAATGTCAGACCAGTAGATCTTGATTTTACAGGAACTTTTTTTTTGGTCCCGAGAGGAAAATGACCCCGAAGTTATTGTAGAAGAATAAAAAATACAGTCTGTACAGTATAAACATCATTACTTATATATCTTCTTAAAGAGTTATGTTCAAGCCTCTGTGTGTGTATGTGTGTGTGTGTGTGAGAGTGTCTGCACAGTCCTCTACCCACTTTTTACTACATTGTGCTTTAATTACTCAATTTGTTCACAATTTCCCAAAACCTTGCTCAGTTACAGTCACATCAGTTTATAAGTGTGTGTGTGTATGTGTTTAGTTGTCCTGGTACTTAAGTGTTCAAGTAATTTGTTTAAGTGTTTCATTCACTGCTGTCTGCTTTTTCAGCATCTTGGCTGATTTGATATATTTTTGATGAAAACAGGACTGGTGCGACAAATATATTTTATTCATGTTTTTATTTACAAATGTTTTCATTGTTGGGGCTGTGCCCTCTTCTCAGGATCTTTTGTGTCTTTTCCAGGATCTTTTCTTGAGGCTTGATCTTTTTTTCTGGATCTTCTGTTGTTGCTGTGACCTTTTTTTTAGGATTTTTTGTTGCTGATGTGTCCTTTTTTAAGCTCTACTGTTGAATCTGTAACTTTTTTAGCGTCAGGAACTGTGGTGCTCAGTAGTGTAAACAATCTTTCCCATCCATTTGCACTACATTCCTTATTGCTTATTCCTTGACCTGAAACATTCAGACACACACCAAATCAAGGTTATTGATTCAGATTCGTCACAATAAACAAAAACCATAAAATGTACAATAAAAAAAACTTTTTTCAAATGAAAGGAGAATCTATTTTCCAAATCATTAGAAGCTGATCTACAGTTCAGTACCTTAAACCATTGATGGAGAATGATTTCTTCCAGAGGAATCCGCTGGCTTGGGTTTTCCTGCAGGAGAGCTTGAATCAAGTCACAGCATTCTGTGCAGAACGATGGTGGGAAGAAGTGAGAGAAACACATCATCAACTTCAACTTTACATCTGCTGTCATTTTATTAATCTATAAGATCTGACTCTACTCTCCTTTAGAATCAGAACATTGTCACCATTATCCAATATCCAACTCTTAGTTTTAATCCATGATTTTGTATGATTTAAACTACAACTGCTCGTCTATGATGTGATGAATGACATCTTACCTTCTGACAATCCAGGCTCAGTCCAGTTTCCATCATCGATCCTCTGCGTGTCCGTGACTTCAGGAAATCGTTGACACAGCAGCAGGAATAACAGAACTCCTAAAGACCATACAGTGGATGGTTCTGCATGGTATTCGTCGTCTAGGTAGTACTCCGGTGGGAAGTACTCCTTTGTGCCTGAAGGAACAAGATTTGGTCTCAGCATGAAACACTAAAGCATGTTTTCTCTGTAACATGAAAATACATGATTGGTCAAATTGACAGTACAGACTACAGGTGTTAAGTTTAATACATACCACAGAAACTGTCATAGCCAGAATCCTGGAGAAGAGCCCCACAGCCAAAGTCAATTAGCTTGACCTCCAGCGTGTCCGTGTTGACCAGCAGGTTCTCCAGCTTTATGTCTCGGTGAAATACCCCACGTCTGCAGCACATGAGACCGGCCGTTGTTGCCTGCTCCATGATCTTTTGAGCCTGGAGTTCAGTGATGGAGCCGAGAGACATTATGAAGTCCAACAGATCTACACATGGTGAAGGTCTTTCCAGGATCATGATGTAACAATCCTGCTGGTCCTGCCAGTCCAGAAGCTCAATAATCTCTGGAACCTTGCCACCTCTATGAGCCAGTATCAACAGGCCGATCTCTAAAGGAAGGGGCTCAGGATGACCAGCCTAGAAGAAAGATTAGTTAGGCGGTGTTGCTTCCCCAAATATACTGTTGTCAGTGCCTTTACATGTTTACTTACGATGTTGATGTATTTCATGTTCGATGGCTTTCTGGCAATTTTTACTGCCACCTGCTCAACAAAACAACACTTCTGTTATAATCACATCAAATGCACTAAAAAGTGAACATAATATATGATAAAGGGATTGTTCACCTCAAGGCCATCCTCCAAGTGCTTCCCTTCATAGACGCTGCCAAATCCTCCCTCTCCAATCTCCTTGCCGAGTTCATACCGGTCCAGAATGTCACCTGTTAAAAGATGAATAATTGCAGCTGATGTGAAATGTCAAGCACTGACAGACACGTGTGTAATGTTTGAGGTGGAATAGACATATACCTATATTCAATAATTCAATACATCGTGAAAATGAACCTGCACAATACTGATATGGTGGACACTTCAAAATACAGCAAACAGTGATTGAAACTTTGAGTGCTTTTAAAAATATATATTTATATTTACAGAACTTAATGTAATGTACTCTACTGCATACTGAAGAGGATCATGAGAGAAGGCCACACATTCTCAAATGACCACTAGATTTACCTTCAGAACTCTTCTTGTGGATCTGAACAGAAGTCTGGTCCTCCTGACTAGAGCTGCTGCTGGACTTCTGGACTTTACAGGAGAGCAGCTTTTCAGGACTGTCAGTCCTTCTCCTCTTTCTCTCACTTTCCTCAGCAACATCAGTGGACTGAAGGCTGGTGATGGATATTTGAGGTGTATGAGGATGGAAATCGTTCACATGAGAGCTGTGACAACTTCGTTTTCTCTTTTGGCCACAGAGAAAAGTCATCCACTGGTTGTCATCTGTATTTAGAGATGTAAGACATGCATTAATGATAATGATAATGGCTTATAAAATTGATTTGTGTTTTGATGTAAAGTGTAAAGACACACTTCATCTTAGAGATCAGAAACAGTCATGAATTGGGTTTCTTATAGTGAATGCTCATAATTTGCCCTCAACAAATCTGATTCATACACATTTTATGCCCATTATTGAGTCCATTGAATATTGATATTTATACCATTTTTATATTTCAGTGATATTATTAATAATCTGCAATTATTTAAATGATTTATGTACAATACAGATTGTTGTTAAAGTTTTCTCTTTTAGTGGATAAATTATGAGAAACTTTGATTACCAAACAATTGGTTCTACTTAGATTTGTGTTAGAAACCTAAAACAAGTTAAAAAGTTATTTTTTTATTGTATGTGTTCAGTTTTTAGTTATTTTACTCTCAAAATCATTCCTCATAAATCTGCAGACTTTTTAACAAAATTCTCAGCAGAAATAGCAAAACAGAATCTGTCTGGGCCGATATGTACATGTACAGAGATCTAGTGAACACAAAACATGGTCAGATTGACAAACAGTGACTGGATTTACCCTCAGCGTAAAGGGAGAGCGGCTTTTCAAAACTCTCCCACCTCCTCTTCTTTCTCACTTGTATCTCAATCTCCTCACCAACACCAACAGGTGAATGGTTCTCAGCCACATTGGCGCTGGATGTTGGAGGTGTACGAGTATGGAAATCATACACCTGAGTTCCTTGAGAACAACGCTTTCTTTTCAATGCCATAATAACAGAATTCACTGGGAACACTACTATTACCAACTGCAATGAGAAGACGCAATGAGGAGATTCTGAACTGTCTTCTACTTTTAATCCTGCGTTCTTCTGTTTCTATGACAGCGCATTCCGGAACACTTGTTTACATTCAAAATCCCAGCACCATATTGGACAAGCTATCTAAACTAGATATATAATAGACAGACAGTTAGATACAAGCTTTAATCTTTAATCTTTCACTTCTCAATAATAAGGAACAGTATTTTCACCACAAATATCTACATAAATACAAGAAATAAACTTGTAAATACAACACCAAACTGATTCTGAAACATTATTGTCCAGAAACTAAATAAAACACTGTCATTTTAAGATTAGATAATCTCAAGTAATTTTGATTTAACTGAAGAAAATTCTATTAAATGTTGTAATTGCTAACAGAACAAACTTAAAATAACATTATTAGGCCTACATTTAGTCATGTGACATATGTGTAAAGTAAAACATAAAACTAAGACTAACATTATTATCCAGTAACAAAATGAAACAAAGTAATTTAAAGCTTATTTATATACAGTAGATTTTAGCTGAAAATAAGTTAGATTTATATTTATATATGAGCAATTTCAGTGTTATGGATGTGACATTTGTAGCAAAAACTCAAAACATAAATTCACATAGAAAATATTTGTTTAACACTTCATTAAACTGTTTCCAGAACAACTGACCACAGAGTTATGGGATCAGAAAAATATCGTTCTGTATACGTTTTGAACTTTAAATGAAAATACTTTGTAGAAATTCTGTGAAATAAACTGCACGACCTAAAATAAGTAATGATCATCAAAATGATAAGAGTTGGCTCTCTATAAAACAAAAATGATTGATTTTATTTTATTTAATATTTTTGCCTTTATGAGGAAAAAGTGTCGTTATGGATGTGACCGATGTGAAATTGTTACTTGTGTGACTTTGGTAAATCAAATATAATTGTTTGAAAAAGCCGACAGAGACATTTTTGAGCATTTTTTAAGTTCTGTAAAATACTTGCTTAAAAAAAAAAAAAAAAAAAGAAACGGGTTCTGTATTTTGGTGAAAACTTAATTTTTTTCATGGCAAGGTTGACATTTGCATGGAATTGCTAAGATATGTTATATGTATAAGCATTAAGACTATATTTAGAGTCATCTTTGTTGGAGAGAAGAATTTATTTCAATCAAGTAACGTTTATATGTGAATTATGTATAGCTATCACTATTTTCTATTATTGTTGGAAACACTCACATCTTATTACAGTAACTCGATGTTTTTCCTGCAAAGACAAGTATGAGGGAGGTGACGACCTCTATCAAATTTTGTACAACCTCCACCTTTTAACAAAAATCAGGCAGGCGATCACTACTGACAGACCCTAAGTAATGCTCAAGTGCTGGTCATGTATTTAATTACATTTAATGTTAACAGTTTAAAATAAGATCATGTTTTGATAAGATTCCAGCAATAATACAAAATGTGTTTATTTCCCGTAGCAAACGTTTCATCATGACTACTAAATGAATAATGCCTGAATAGTGTCATGTGCTCATTCAAAACTTTAAATCAAGCATTGTCAGCTGTAGTCACCAAGCAGTGTTTAAAATAGTTTGTTTGCATTTATGTCTTTAAAATGTTTTGTGTATGAAATATTTGACCTCTCAGATGAGTGTCACTTTTACCTCAGGCCAGGCCCGTGCAGAGACTTTCGTCTTTTCCTCTCTGTCTATCAAGCTGGATGGCTTGATAACCTCCTCAACCCCTGTTGTAAGTAGAAGGTGGGAGAGCTGTGTGAGAGCTTAAATGTATTAAAATAAAATACTATATATAATAAAATATTTTGAAAATACTACAAAATGCTAATAAAAGGGAGCATGAAATGTCTTCACAAACCTTCTATCAATAGGCCTATTTGATCAATCCCTCCACCATTAAACTGGCTTAGTGTAGTAAACCATGTTTGACAGCAACAGCGTTTCTCTGAGCAAGTTTAAGTCAGCTTCTCTGTCGACTCATTCACGTCTACTAAACATAAAACATGTAACTTTTGTTTCTCTTTGATTTTAAGTTTTATACAGAAAGTATTGTCTTGAAGATGATCCCTTTAACGCTGTAAAAATCATTCACAGCACATAATGAGTTGGAATATGATACTATATCTCTTGATTGCTACCATCTCTAAAAGTCTTATATTTCAACATTTTTGCAGTTGAAATCTTTAATACTGAATGTAAAATCATGATTTCTGAAAACTACTAAAATCTCTAGTTTTAGTCATTTCTATATTTCTTTACAATTGTACTCTTCAACACACAGTATAAAACATACTGTACTGTACATGAAGTATACAAGAAGACATTTACAATAGGGGAGCGCAGGGCACAAAGTAACGTGGGGTGAAGTGTAACACAGAGTTTTAGGGTATTTGCTCAGGCTTGATCATGGCATACTTCCGAGGTTTTCACCACAGTGTCAGCAGATGTCTTCCTGGCAATTATTGAATAAGTTCGGTGAAATATGGATGAGAAACACAAGAGAAACCATTTTTTATTATAGTCAATATTTTTTTATTTAAAATAATCTGTGAAAGTATAAATGTGAAATCTTGTATTGTTGTGATCACCGTCTTCTAGGCTAAAAGATAAAACCATTTTGAAAGATGTAAGAAACACACAGTGACTGCTAGCCAGTTTTGAGGAAAACATGACACAGTGGGGTTAGTTGTAACAGGGTGTTAAAATTAAGCCACACACTGTTGAACACCAATTAAACTAACACAACATTTTTTAATTTTGAGAACTTTTTTAATAAAATGATTTTTAATCGATTTTTTTTTTTTGACAAAAATATTTTGTAGGGTCCAGCCAGTTGGTCCAATGATGGTATCCAATGGTGGATGAAGGTTCACTGCATGTTCGGTCTTTCCAGTGCACAATGTTGATTTATATTAAACTTAACTCATATCTGACTTCAATTTTAGTATGAGGTGGTTTAGAATATTAATATGTTTATCCTCGTTTTATCTGACTCCAATTATAAAATATTGAGAAGGTTATTTTGTTTCCGTTCACATTAATTTAGATTATGATTGAATATTCTCTTCGGTTCATCATTTTATGTTATTCTCGTTCATTGGGATCTCTATAACATCCTGAATCTTGTACCGGCCGAGTATACAATTTCTTAAGCACAAGCATGTCAGTCTTGGTCACTAAACAGTGGCGATTGACCGCTATCCTAAAAAGGCAGAACCCTACTTACTCAGATTAGGATATTTTTTATGCGGTCCCCATAGGTCTGCTACCTCCTAAATCAGACAGAGCTATTTAGTCATATAACGATCATTACTATAGAATTAAGCAGACCAGTCGTACTTAAACTAGTAGTAACTTTGAATAATCACTATACTATCTAAATAGTATTAAAAGTTTATCGGGTGAAGGACTATCCCCTTAGATATCCTTTTACAGCCTAAGTATACATGAATAAATGCCAATTTGTTAGTCGGAGCTCTAGAGACATCGTGTAGCGTGCCGCAATGCTCGGTCTACCGTTTTCTAGTCCGCTACTAACCTGAACAGGGGCTTGTGGTGCTATGAAATTACCACAATCTATAATAACACGAACTCTGTTTGAATCATTCAAAACATAACAATTTATTAGTCAGGTAAATGTATTATGCCAATTCAATCAGTCAATTCATAAACGATCAATACAAAACATCAAATTATCAAAGATAAATCCAAGATGAAAAAGATGCATTCCTGACTTTGAAATATACATAACATGGAACAAGCCATGTTATGGGCTGATCTGGTTAGGCAGAATCGCGCTGAGTTTTTCTCAACCCTTACCTTAAATAATCCAAGAATTCCCTCAAGGAAGGGGGTGTGTGTGTAAAAAGTCACACCCTTCACAGTGGTTCAAAAGATGCCTGAAGTTATATATTTATTGTTTTGATTATGTCTATTTCTGAGAGAATGAGACCATTGTACCAATCGCACTGAGACATTTCAAATGATATCAAACATGATAGTTAAAGTCAGTTTGGTTAATCTAAAACATTCAAACATTGAAATGACCATATGCGTGAGTTGGGGGGATGAAGCTGAGTTTCAGCATACTCAGATGCAAATGCAGCAGGAACTGGTTTTTCCCGCATTCCCCTTGCTGAGTTGTGAAGTTACCAGTCTCTG